ATGTATGTACAAGTCAAAATACACTCTAATGTCATGTATATATCAAAAGAACAAAGAAAAACTATATTGCTTTGTAGAGGTGCATATTCTTTCTTTGATTTGTTTTCCTCATTTACAAATTCAAGATAGTAATTCCTATCAGAGTTGTTGTGAGGATTCAACAAAATGGTGTATGTGAAAGCTCTTTGAAAACACAAAATACTCTACAAGTGAAAGGAATGATTACCCTAGGTATGTGGACCACCAACAGTTCCCCGAACATGTGGAAAGTTCCATGGGCTGACTTCAGCTCCCACCATGGACCTTTAAAAAAACAGCTTTCTTGAGATATATAAAAACTGTATTTATTTAAGGCATAGAACTTGAAGTCCATATCTATCTATCTATCAATCTATCTATCTCTCAATGATTACCATGACCAAGCTAATTAATATAACAGTTACTATTTTGTGTGCATACATAAATGTGTGTGTGTGTTGAGAAGATTTAATTTGAAATCTATTCTTTAAGCAAATTACAAGCATACACAATATACAGTATAATATTTCTAACTACTTTCATCATGGTTAGATCTCCAGAACTCACTCATTCATCCCACATAGTTGAAATTTAGTACACTTTGACCAACATTTCTCCATTTACCCCTCCCTGACAGTTCCTGAAAACTACCATCCTACTTTCTATTTTCATGAATTTGACTATTTTAGATTCCACATATTAGTGAGATCATGAAATACATACCATAAGTTTATTCTGAGGCTTTGGTAAATCACCACTTCTCTGTGTGCTGGTATTCTGAGTTTGTCTTGCCATGAAAGATTCTTTCTAGAACATGATAAAATTCAATATCCCTGGGGCTGGGGCTGGGGCTCAGTGGTAGCGCACTTGCCTGGCATGTGTGAAGCACTGGGTTCAATTCTCAGTAATGCATATAAATAAATAAAATAAAGAAAGGACTATCCACAATTAAAACAATGTTAAAAATTCAATATCCCTTCATAATAAAAGCTCTGAACAAATTAGGTATAGAAGAATCATACCTCAACATATTTAAAGCTATATATGACAAGCACACAGCTGACATATTGAATGTGGAAAAGCTAAAAGCATTTATTCTAAGATTGGGAACAAGACAAGGGTGTCCATTCTCAACATTCTTATTCAATGCTGTACCAGAAAATTTTAGCTGGAGGAGTTAGATAAGAGAAAGTAAAGAAAAAACATATAATAGGAAGGTAAGAAGTCAAATTATCCCTATTTTCACATGATATAATTCTATACATAGTATAGTCCAATAACTCCATCAAAAGACTATTAGAGCTGATAGATGAATTCAGTAAAGTTGTATGATACCAATTAACAGGCAAAAATCAATAGTTTTTCCAGGTGCTGTGGCACATGCCTGTAATCCCAGCAGCTTGGGAGGCTGAGGCAGGAGGATCACAAGTTCAAATGTAGCCTCAGCAGTAGCAAGGCTGTAAGCAACTTAGCAAGACCCTGTCTCAAAATAAAAATATAAAAAAGGGCTGGTGATGTGGCTCAGTGGTCAAGTACCCCTGGGTTCAATTCCTGATTAAAAACCAAAACCAAAACCAATAGTTTCTTATACACGAATAATGAGCTTTCTGAGAAAGATAATAGGAAAGCATTTACACTCACAGTAGCTACAAAAAAATCTAGAAATTAATTTAACCAAGGATGTAAAAGACCTCTAATAAAAATTATAAAACACTGATGAAAGAAATTTGAAAAGACACAAAAAGGGGAAAAAATTCCATGTGCATGTATATGAAGCCTTAAAGTTGTTAAACGTCCATATTACTCAAAGAAATCTACAGATTCAATCCAATCCCCATTGAAATACCAATGGCATTCTTCACAGAACTAGAAAAAACATCCTAAAATTCAAATGGAAACAAAAGAATCTTCAGCAAAAAGAACAAAGCTGGAGGTATCACAATTCTTGATTTTAAGACATACCCCATAATCAAAGAAACCAAAACAACACAGTACTGCCATGAGAACAGACACTGGGGTCAGTGGAACAGAACAGAGAGATCGGAAATAAACTCACATCTACAGCCAAATAATTGTCAACAAACATGCCAAAAAACACAGTGGAGAAAGGGCAGCCTCTTCAACGACTGGTTCTGGGAATACTGACTATCCACAGGCGGAAGACTGAAACTTGACCCCTTTGTCTCTCCTTTTACAAAAGTCAACTCAAAATAAATCAAAGAACTCAATATAAGACTGAAATTCTCAAACTAGCTGAAGGAAACCTAAGGAAACACTTCAAGATATAGGTGTAGGCAATATTTTTATGAATAAGACCCCAAAACACAGGAAAAGAAGCAAAATTGACAAAGAGGGAAACATCTGCCAGCAAAGGCAACCATCAACAGAGAGAAGAGAAAATCTCCAGAAAGGGAGGAAATATTCATCAGCCATCCATGGACAGAGGTCTCATGTCTAGAACCCAAAAACTTCACCACAAAAAAACCAAGTCATCCAGTTTAAAAGTGGGCCAATGATCTGAATAAACACTTCTCAAAGGAAGAAATAAAAATGGCCAACAAATATGTGGAGAAAATGCTCAATATCATTAGCTATCAGGGAACTGCAAATCAAAACTACAATGAGACACCATCTCACCTCATAATAAAAAACAAAAAACCAAATAATAAGGAGGTGGGGAAAAAGGGACTCTCATACACTTTTGGTGGGAATGCAAATTAGTAAAACCACTATGAAGAACACTTCCTGACACAACTTAAACTAGATCTACCATAGGATCCAGCCATGCCACTTCTGAATGTATATTCAAAGAAAATAGAATCTGCATAGCAAAGAGATCCCTGCCCACTCAAGATTACTGAGATATTCAGATACTACTCACAATAGATAAAGCAGGGAATCAAGTTAGGTGCCCATCAACAGATGAATGGATTTAAAAAGGTGGTGCAAATACACAAGGCAGTATTACTCAGCCACAAATAAGAGTGAAATCCTGTGATTTGGGGCTGGGGATGTGGCTCAAGCAGTAGCGTGCTTGCCTGGAATGCGTGCGGCCCGGGTTCGATCCTCAGCACCACATACAAAACAAAAGATGTTGTGTTCGCTGAAAACTAAAAAATATATATAAAATTTCTCTCTCTCTCTCTTTCTCTTTAAAAAAAAGAGTGAAATCCTGTGATTTGCAGCAAAATGGATGGAACTGGGGGCAAAGACACCAAAGGCAAGAACTACACTCTCTCTCTCATGTGGAAGTTAAAAGAAGTCCACCTGAATGTAGACTAGGGATTAACAGGTTAGAAATGCTGTGTGTGTGAAAGGGAGGATATACAGAGAGAGGCTGGATTAGATTGCTACACACTGTACATGTGTGGAAATAGCATACCGATACCACTAATATGTACAATTAAAACATGTTTTTTTTTTTTTAAAACATGTTAATAAAAATAAAAACATAAAAATCTTTCTAGGTATACCTTGCAACAAGTTCCTGGATTCAATGGTTCTCTTTTCAGAAAAAAATATAGTGAAAGTTATAATAGCCCAAAAGTGTCTGGATCAACTGACCTTTGAGAAAAGAAATTGTTTAAGTCCAGATAACCATCAATGGAGGTTATACTATACTGCTTTCATTGGTCAGAAAACACATAACAAAAACCAAACCAAATCTAAAAAATAATAGCTTCGTGTCTTTAAGTCTGAAAAACTGTTAGCACTTGAAAAATTTGAAATATAAATAACAGAACTCTTAAGATTTTTAAAGGGAAATTAGAAATTTGGAGAATGCAAAGTACTGTACCATGATTCACTTTTCTTTTTACTGATATGCCCATGGTTTCCCTCCCATCCACTATCTGGACTATTTTGAACTCTCATTTAATCATTTAGTTTCTTATTTTGATTACAAAAATAAATTTTCTGTGTTCTTTCAAGCTGTTTTGGGACAACGTTCATTACAGAAAGTTAGGTTGGGCTAGGCCCATCTCTGGGATTTCAGCTTAGAGTGAGGGGCAGAAGCTTATTCTTTAGGGATACAATGGGGTGTGGGGAGAGGGTAATATTCATGAGGTCAGAATGGGAGGAACTGGAGCCAGGAGATTTGATCCTGTCCCTCCATTGACAAGAGCACACAGAAAGTGACACACACACACACACACACACACACACACACACACACGAATGTTTCTATAATGACAGGCTCTGCGTGTGCTGGGAGGAAAGGTTTGCAAAACAAGTTAGTGAGCAAGGAGTGCAGGTGGGGCTGGCCTAGTTCTCCTGCCTTTGCTCACAGTCTGGGAGGCTCAGAAGACTCCCCTGAGAAATTGACCTCAGAGCCTGAGGTCAGAGTGGAAATAACTAGGCCCAGGAAGTGGTGAGGGGAGCAGAGGGGCCAGCGCTCCCCAGGCAGAGTGAATTGCTTGTTCAGAGGCTTTTGGCAGGAAGAAGCTGTGTATAGTTAGAGGAACTGAAAGCTGACAGAGAGGCTAAGGTGCAGAGCAAGTGAAGCTGGAAGGCAAGATGGTGTTCAGAGGTTATTCAGAGTTGAGCAGGGAGGGCCTGTGTGATCCTGTGGGCCATGCCGTTGTTTTGCTCTCCTGACAAAGAGCCACTTCCCGGACCAGGCAAAAGGTTAGGGGGTGGTGACGAGGTGGAAATGTAGAGAGAGAGCCACTTAAGAGATGTAAGGTAGAGCCCAGCTGGCATGGGAGAGGGTCAGCAGCTAGCTACCCAGGCTCTGACTGAGTAAAGAAGGGATCCTCGTCCAGGTGACAAGGGCTCTGAGCCACTGTTGTTGTCAGATTCTTATTTTCAGTGTGAGGAATGGGTACTTGGCTTTCCAGGTTCACAGATGCACACTTTAATTTTATGTCTTTTCTTTGGAATAGAAGGAGGAGGAGTGAGCAGGAGGTAGAAGAGGCAGCCAGCAGAAGGAGAGGCCCGCAGGAGGGGTGAGAGGTGGAGGGGAATGTAGGGGAGCACCCATACAGTCAGGCATATTACTGTAAGTGGGCAATAGCATTATGTGTGAAAAAGATGTGTATCCATTAATTAAAATATTTTATTGCTAAAAACTGTTTAAGATCATCTGAGCTGTTGGGAAAATGGTGCTAATAGATTTCCTCCATGCAGGGTTGCCACACATCTTCAAATTCCACAAAATACAGCATTAAAGTGAAGTGCAATGAAATATGCTTGTATCCCCCCTCCCCCCGCCAAAAAAGAAAAAAGAAAGAAAAGAAAAGGAAACCCAAATAAGAAACAAAAATAAAACCTAAAGGGAGTCAGGAAATCAGAGAAGACGCTGGCTCAGAAGATACCAAGGGCCATCATAGGAAGAAAGAGAAGCTGGGAAACACTGAAATGGAGGAATCTTGGGATATGAACGCTCTAAAGAATGCCAGTCTAGTCAAACTCTCTCAATGTGCCACTGAGAAAATCACTTTCAATGTTTTACTTTATATAAATATAATCCTTACACTCGTAAACATTTTGGAAGACTGTAAAAGGGCAAAGCCAATTAAAATCACCCGTAGTTCTTTCCACCTGGAGACATCCACGGCTAAGCCCAAGCCTTTCCTCCTCCCTTTTTCTTTGCATTTTTAACACTGTCCGAGTTGTGACATATATACACCTTGACGTACTTTTAAAAACACTAAGAGAACAGTGTAAAGCATCCCAAGTTCTGTTTCAAACGGTTTAATGAGCGAAACAGATGCTAAGACCAGGTGATTGCGAAATCTAGCGTAGGAGCGCTGGGACTCCTCCCCCCATCAGGGTACTGGGAAGCTGGAATAGCCTAGAGCCAGAGGGACCTCCGGCCGAAGAGCAGAGCGCCGGCCGCCCGGAGTGAGTTTGTTGCCCAAAGCGGAGCGAGCTGACCTGCAGGTGGCGAGGCGTGCAGAGGAGCGCAGAGGGCTTTGCCCAAAGTTGCACAGGGAGCCCTCGAGGTTCCTACGCCCGGCGACATGGGATGCGCGTGGTTCCTGCTGTTGTGGGTGCTTTCCCAGCTTTCGGGAAATTATGAGGGTGAGTGGAACCAGGGCGAGGGGAAGCTCGCCCTAGAGCACAGAGAAAAGAGGTTGCACTGGGGTGAGGGAGACCCACGATGGGGGCAAAGGAGTGAGGCTTGGTCTCGGGATCCCGGGCTCAGGGAGCCAGCAGAGAACCTGCTCTGGCCTCGGAGACGTGGCGCTGCTCGGGGCTCGCAATCACCACTCGTGCGTCCCAGTCTCCTTTCCTGAGGCTGTTTCCCGGCCCCTCCCCCCGCTTCTCATTATGCTGTCTGCTCCGTAGGCCACTCGCTGTACGCTTCCAAGCTTCACTCATTCTCAGTCCCGCAAAAGAATTTCACCTTCCTCTGGCTCCAGACCTCGTCCTTTCCCAGCAACGCCTCCACACGCGCGGAGGGCGTGGCGTGGCTGGGGGAGCTGCAGACGCACAGCTGGAGCAACACCGCGGACACTATTCGTTTTGTGAAGCCCTGGGCTCGCGGCACGTTCAGCAGCCAACAATGGGACAAAATGCAGCACCTGTATCTGGGCTTCCGAAGCAGTTTCACAAAAGACATTCGGAAGTTCGCTCAAATGCTGCGATTCAAGTGTGAGTTGAGGGATGGGATCCTGGGCGGGCACTTGAGGCTTGAGAATGAGCATAGAAAGAAGACTCTGCTCCCACCAGATGAGATTCTTCTGTTTTTGAACCTCTTCAAATTTCCACTTCTGCCTGGAGATGCTCCTGTTTCTTCTGAAAGCAACACCTTGTTCCTGCCTACTCCTGACCACCAACTCTTATTTCCCTCCACTGTGGGTTCTCAATATAACTCTCAGAACAGTTTCTTCTCCTTTGTCCCGGTCTTTTAAACCCTTCTTTGATTTCTACACGTTTCTCTCCACAGATCCCATGGAGCTGCAGCTGTCTGTTGGCTGTGAGGTGCACCCTGGGAACATCTCAGAACACTTTCTCCATGTAGCATATCAAGGAGAACATATCCTGAGTTTCCAGGGAACTGCTTGGGAGCCTGTCCTACAGGCCCCCCAGTGGGTAGATTTGGTCATCAAAGACCTCAACCAGGACAAAGGGACAAGGAAAACAGTACAGTGGCTCCTCAATGACATCTGTCCAGAATATGTCAATGACGTCTTAGAGACAGGGAAGTCAGAACTGGAGAAACAAGGTCCACCTGTTGTCCTCTCCTCCTGTTACTCAGGCTTCTTCTAGGTTTTGCCATCCAAGGGTTTGCTTTCCTTTAAGCATCAGACAAAGAGCAAGACATAAAGGGGATGGATAAGGCATGAGGGTATTTGTTCATATCACCCAGTGTCACTGAGTACCTGCTGGGTTCCATGAGTTGAATTAAACCAAGTCTGTGGGTCAGAATTGATTCAGACCATGTTTGAGACATGCTGTGTGCTCCAGCTGAGCTCAGGGTGTTAGAGTAGGGAGGTGAGGCATTTATAGGGCACTGGGATCAGGGGAGGGGAAGGAGATGAGGGATGGGTCTCCTGGGCAAGGTGACACAAAGGGATCAAAGCTACTTGGAGACTTCACCTCCGGAAGTGGACCTTTGGGGAGCATGAACCTGGGAGGAGGCCTGGGACCTCTGATGCAGAGTTCTCACCTTATGGTTTCCTCATCCCTTATTGGATACAGTGAAGCCCGAGGCCTGGCTGTCCAGTGGCCCCAGTCCTGGGCCTGGCCGTCTGCTGCTGGTGTGCCATGTGTCTGGCTTCTACCCAAAGCCCGTGTGGGTGATGTGGATGCGAGGTGACCAGGAGCAGCAGGGCACTCAGAGAGGTGACATCCTGCCCAATGGTGATGAGACGTGGTATCTCCGAGCAACCCTGGATGTGGCAGCTGGGGAGGCAGCTGGCCTGGCCTGCAGGGTGAAGCACAGCAGCCTAGGAGGGCAGGACCTCGTCCTCTACTGGGGTGAGAAAGGGCTGGGGCTGTGTTGGAAATGGAGGCCGGTGGTTCTCAAGCATAGAGGGAGCGACTGTGAAGGATAAAATTGGCACACCAACTAGGAGGGCTAGAAGGATGGATTCCAGACACATAAAGAGGAAAATAGGACTGAGATCTGATGTATTAATACAAGATGAAATGGGATTGATAATCTTAGAGAATTGGAAGTTGTTGGCAATTAATGAATCCCTGGAAGCTGGGCATGACAGCACTCATCTGTATTCCCAGCTGCTGGGGAGGCTGATGCAGGAGAATTCCAAGTAGGTGGCCAGACTAGCCAAATTAGGGAGATCTTGTCTCAAAAAGTAAAGGCTAGGGATGCAGCTCAGTGGTTTGTCCCAGATTCTAGGATTCAACCAGCAGCACTGCATATAAAATGAAAACAGCATCTGGGAAGATTCATTTCCCAGCAGAATGGGGATCAGGGACTTATGAAAAGTAGGTTAACAAGGAGAGCTGTGGTTTACTGAGTGCTTCCTGGGTGGGGGCCTGTCCACTCTGTATCCAGTGCTTTACCTGAGCATCACCACTCTCCTTTGAAGCAGTTACTGTTATTCTATTTTACAAATGAGGAAATTGAGGCTGAGATAGGTTAACTACCCAGAGTCTCACAGAAGGTGGAAGAGCTGGATATCGATTCAGGTCTGCCTGGCTACACAGCTTCACCTGTACGCTACGTTATTATATAGTGAAATGAACTGTAGTGCAGGTGCCTAGACCCTGTGAAAAGGTGGGGAGTCTAAAATTCTGAGGAATAGAAGTTGATGCTCTAAATAGGGGGAGGGAAAAGGCAGCACCTGGCTCCTCACATGTGCTAGACCAGGGAACTTGATACATGGTCCTGTGTCCCCTGCAGGTGGGAGCCACACCTCTGTGGGCTTGGTCATCCTGGTGGTACTGGCTTGCTTGGTGCTGCTCTTTGTGCTCATTCTAGGCTTCTATTGGATCAGGAGACACCGGTGAGTCTCCCCTTCCATCTGTTCCTTCCCTCCTCCTCTCTCCTCCTCTCTCCTCCATCCCCTGTTCCTGTTTCCTGAATGGTGTCTCCCTTTCTCTTCCCTCACAGCTCCTATGAAGACATCTTGTGAGTCTTCTGGTCACTTCCATGTCTGGAGCCCAAGACCCCAAGTCCCCAGAACTGCAGTCTTTGCCTGCTTAGGAATGGAGGATGAATGGAGAGTTAACCTGGAGAAGTAACAAAGAAAAGGGTCATCCACATCCTTTTAACGTTTATCTAAAGAGTTCGAGTCCTTTCCCTTGTATGACAAGTTTTTAAGCCCAAGTCATTCTGTAGAAACAGGAGCCCCAACTCCTCTGATGACCTGCTGGCAATGAGCAGGTAAAGGCTAGGGTAGCAGTGCCCTTGTTGGCCATTGAGTGACAGGATCTGTCCTGAGATGGAAAAACGTGTTCTTTGTAAAGGTGGTAGCTGCAGTGGCCAGCTGTCAAGTACCAAGTCAATTTCTGGCCTGATTGCAGCCTATGTTTCTCATGAAAACTGGAAATCTAGAATTTTATGTGACAGGTGATTTAAAAAGTTAACTTGTCTTTGGACAAAATATTCTTTGTGATAAATAAGCATTGCAGACTGATCCTATCTCATGTGCACCCAGATCAAGTCTCCTTTCCTTCTTCAAGATCCGTTTTCAACACCCCTTCACCACAAAGACTTTTCTGAGCCATGAAGAACTAATGTATTTCTCCCCCGAGTACCCACATTATAAAATATTATGGAGTAAAATAAATTTAAAGTATAATTTGCATACAAGAAGACGCTCCTAGTTACAATTCAACGAATTATACCAATATCCACACCCATGTAACTCTTCTCCCGTCTTCCCAGAGCTCACAGAAACTTTTCATTTCCCCAAAGTCTGTCATGTCTCCTTGTTAATCCCAGCATTAGTCAACATTGATCTGTATTCTGCCTCTTTTTGTTTTATGAAAATTTTATATAAATGGAATGGAATGTTTCTGTTCTTCATTTGACACAATGTGTTTGAGACTCATTCATGTTCCATTCATCACAAGTTCCTTTCTTTTAGTTTTTGTGGAGCATTTCCTTACATGGGAATACATACTAACATTTATGGATTAAGCTAGTCACAAAAAATTGGTGATTTATAATCTGGGCTCTCAGGAATGAAGCTGCTGTGAACATTTATGCCCTTTTTGTGCATTCACTTTTACTTGAGTAAATCCCAAGGAGTGGAACTGCTAAACTCAATGGTATGTCTTTTTTTAATCTTTTGGTTATTTAGGAGTATATTATGGCCAGGTGCAGTGTTGCACGCTGTAATCCCAGATGCTCTGGAGGCTGAGACAGGAGGATCGTGAGTTCAAAGCCAGCCTCAGCAACAGCGAGGCACTAAGCAACTCAATGAGACCCTGTCTCCAAATAAAATACAAAATTGGGCTGGGTGTGTGACTCAGTAGTTGAGTGCCCCTGAGTTCAATCCCCAGTACCTTGCCTTGCTCAATAATACTACATTACGTAATTATCAAATGTTTGCTGGTTTTGCATGGGTGTTTTAGTTATTGGATTTGAGTTTAATTCCCAAAATAGATTTTGTGTGATTTCAATCTTTTAAAATCTACTGAGAGTTGTTTGATGTATGCAGTCTATCTGTGAAAATATTCCATGTGTATTTGAAAATAAAGTGTTCTGCTGTTGGGTGAACTGCCTTATAAATGTCCATTAGGTTGCTCTTCAAATCTTCTATATCATTACTGTTTTTCTGCTTACTTGCTCTATTACTTACTGAGATAGGAGAGTTGAAATCTACAACCATATTTGTGGATGTAAATGTTTTCCCTTTCATTTCTAACTTTTTGTTCTATTTGCTCCAGGTTTTTTGAAGTTCTATTATTATGTGCATATATAAGATTACATATAAATCTCCTGAATTCTACTCTGACATTAAAATAGTCACCCTTGTTTTCTCTTTTCAGGTTTTGCTAAGTATATCTTTTACCAGCGTCGACTCTGAACTTTAGTTTGATTTATTCATTTATTGATTGATTCTTTCTTTCTAGATATACATGAGAGTATAGTGTATTTTGACATATTATACATACATAGAATAAGTATAACTTTTTCCAATTAGGATCCCTTTATTGTGGTTGTACATGATGTGGAGTTACAAAGGTCATTTATTCATATATGAAGGTAGGAAAGTTATGTCCAATTCATTCTACTGCTGTCTTTGTTCTTAAAGTGTGTTTTACGTAGAGTGAAGATAGTTGGATTTTACTTTTTTATTTTACATGACAATCTATGACTTTTTAATGAGTGTTTTGACCATTTGCATGTAATGTACTATATGAATACACTATATTAATGCATGTAATGTACTATATATAATTTGATGTATTACGGCAATATAATTTAGGGTATGACTTTAGTCTACTATCTTGCCATTAGTTTCCTATAGGTCCCACTTTTCTTGTTCCTTTTTAGGACTTTACTGACAACCAAGAGTAGCTTCTTAGCTATGTTTCTATAAGTACATCAGTGCTCCAGCATTCACTATAATTTTTTTTTTGTATCATAAACTAGTTTTAAATAACATTATATCACATAATAGATATTTAAGAACTGTGCAGTAGTATAGTTCCATTTTTTCCCCTCTCAATCTTTGTGTATAAGTAACATACATTTTACTTTTATGTATGAAATTAATTTACAATAATTGGTCACTGTTTTTAAAAAATATATTTATTTATTCTAGTTTGTTATACATGACAGCAGAATGCATTTCACTTAATAGTACTCATGTAGAGCACAATTTTTCATGTCTCTGGTTGTACACAAAGTAGAGTCACACCATTCATGGCTTTATACATATACTTAGGGTAATGATGTCCACATTCCATCATCTTTCCTACTCCCATGCCCACTCCCTTCCCTTCCCTCCCATTTGACCTATCTAAAGTTCCTCCATTCCTTCCATGCTTCCTGCCATTATCGATCAGCATCCACATATCATTTCATCTAGCCTTTGGTTTTTTGGGATTGGCTTACTTCACTTAGCATAATATTCTCCTACTCCATCAATTTACCTGCATATGCCATGATTTTATTCTCTTTTAATGCTGAGTAATATTCCATTGTGTATATATACCACATTTTCTTTATCCATTCATCTATTGAAGGGCATCTAGGTTAATTCCACAGTTTAGCTATTGTGAATTGTGCTGCTATAAACATTGATGTGGCTGTATCATTGTATGATCCTTTGGGTAAAAACCAAGGAGTGGGATAGCTGGGTCAAATGGTGGCTTCATTCCAAATTTTTGAAGGATTCTTCATAGTGCTTTCCAGATTGGCTGCACCAATTTGCAGTCCCATCAGCAATGTAAAGCATTCCTTTTCCCCCACATCCTTGCCAACATTTATTGTTGTTTGTATTCTTAATAGTTTCCATTCTGACTGGAATGAAATGAAATCATAGAGTAGTTTTGATTTGTATTTCTCTAATTGCTAGAGATGCTGAACATTTTTTCATATATTTGTTGACTGTATATCATCTTCTGAGAAATGTCTGTTCATTTCCTTGGCCCATTTATTAATTGGATTACTTGTTTTTTTGGTGTTTTTTGAGTTCTGTATATATCCTAAAGATTAGTGTTCTATCTGATGTGTGTGTGATAAAAATTTGCTCCCATTACGTAGGCTCTCTTCACCTTACTGTTTCTTTTAATAAGAAGAAGCTTTTCAGTTTGAATCCATCACATTTATTGGTTCTTGATTTTATTTCTTGAGCTATAGGAGTCTTGTTGAAGTCAGGGCCTAATTCGACATGATGGAGATTTGGGCCTAATTTTTCTTCTAATGTAGGCACAGGGTGTCTTGTTTAATTCCTAGGTCCTTGATGCACTTTGAGTTGAATTTTGTAAAATTTCATTTTGCTGCATATGGATTTCCAGTTTTCCCAGCACCATTTGGTGAAGAAGCTATCTTTTCTCCAATATATGTTTTTGGCACCTTTGTCTAGTATGAGATAACTATTTTTATGGGTTTGTCTCTGTGTCCTCTATTCTGTGCCACTGGTCTACAAGTCTATTTTGGTGCCAATACCATGCTGTTTTTGTTACGATAGCTCTGTAGTATAGTTTAAGGTCTGATATAGTGATGCCACCTGCTTCACTCTTCCTGCTAGGGATTTCTTTGTCTGTTCTGGGTCTCTTATTTTTCCAGATGAATTTCATGATGAGTTTTATATTTCTATGATGGATGTTATTGGAATTTTGATTGGAATTGCTTTACATCTTTTGGTAGTATGGTCATTTTGACAATATGAATCTGCCTATTCAGGAACTAGGGAGATATTTCCATCTTCTAAGGTCTTCTTTAATTTCTTTTTAGTGTTTTGCAGTTTTCATGGTAGAGGTCTTTCACCTATTTCATTAAGTTGATTCCCCAGTATTTTATTTCTGTTGAGGCTATTATAAATGGGGTAGTTTTCCTCATTTATCTTTCAGAGGATTTGTCACTGATATACAGAAATGCCTTTGATTTATGGGTGTTGATTTTATATCCTGTTACTTTACTAAATTCATTTATTAGTTCTAGAAGTTTTCTGGTGGAATTTTTGGGATCCCCTAATTATAGAATTATGTTGTCAGCAAATAATGATAGTTTGAGTTCTTCTTTTTCTATTTGTGTCCCTTTATTTTCTCTCATCCATTGTTGGAAGCTGCTGTAGAAATACACACCCTTAAGTCCTGAGCAAGAGAACTGAACAATTATTGAGCCCAGCAATAACTTGGGCTTTGTCTCCACTAAGATAATGAGGCGGGGCTCCAGGAGTTGGCTTCACCTGGTGGGGTTGAGCTACTCACCTGTTCCTTTGTATTTCTACCCCTTTGCCCTTTTTGGGATAGAATATTCCACGGGAGCCTCTTCTTGTGTGTCCCCTATATAAGAATAAAGAATTCCAGTGGCTCTCTCTCTTTTTCTTTCCATGTGTCCCTAAGTTTGGAGAGCCATACAGGATTTTGAAAAGGTACTTCTGTGTGTTTTTATGGTTTCTTTGCTGTTTTCTTAAGTTATTGGAATAGTCAGATTTGTGAACCCAGCATTAGGTCACCAACTGGGACAGATGGCGATAAATGGAAGGCTCGCTGGGATGTTTTAAGGTAGTTGATAAAATGCATAGGTCAAAGTGTAGCCCTCCCTCATAAGCATGCTTTTTATGACTTATTGTGAAACTAATGTGGATTTTTTTGTGGTTTGAAATGTTTAGGATAAGATTTTTTAAATTTATGTACTGGAAACTAATATTGAGAGAATGAAGGGAGAGAGGAGAGATTGTTTTATTTGTGGGACATTAAAATTCCTGAAGTTCTCTACTTCTAAAAAAGTAAAGTATCTTTTAATTTTTTTTATTTGATTCTTGTTTTCTAGAATTCTTTAGACAATTTGAATTGGGTAAATAAATCTGCTGAGCCTCTCACTGCATCCTTACCAAAAAGTAAAATCGAGTGGACTGTAACTCAGCTGCTCTCACACAGATGCAGGGCTCTACCCTTTAGATAACCTGGCCTAGGTGTCAAACGCAGGCCTGCCAGCACCAGCATTGGAACTGCTTTTGAGTTGGGGGATTTTGGGGGGCACCCAGGAGCTGTGAGTGGAGAGAGCAGGGACAGAGGCACAGCTGTGGCAGTGCGAGTGGGACAGCTGGCCCACTTATGGATCCAGAGTTCTAGTGGGACATCCCCCGGAGCACCCAGGTGGCGCTGCCCCTGAGGGATTCCAAACAGGAACAGATCAGGCAAGATCCACACATCTGGGACAGTTTTGAGAACAACACGCAATGGCAGCACTGCTGACTGGACCCCACTTTGGACATCCATGTGGTCCCAGGACAATGGGCAAAACGCCTGCATGTGATACCCAGGGCGGGGCAAAGCAGACAAATCAGATGGACTGCGACCAATGGAAAGCTCTGGGAAGGCTTGACTTCCCAGGGCACAGCAATGCAGGTGCTTTCTCCCGGGATGATCCCAAGCTGGGGTGGTGGCAGCCATGCCCACCTTCTCCCCTGGTCTGTCTTTCTATTCTAGATTTTAATGATAAAACGATTTTCCTAAATAGGGAAATCTTCATATCATTATCTAGACAGATGATATAGAAGGTTAAAATAATTGAAAAACAGATTTATATATAATGGACTCACTATAAAAATTTGAACTGATTAATTCTAGGATATTTCAGGCTTTTCTCCCTGATTTTATTATGCTGATGTAAGCCAAGATTTTTGTCTACATTCTGACATGACAGAGCTTATTAAAATATCAATCTTCTTCCTCATAATTCTTGCTGTTTGAACAAGAACCAATTTTTAATGAATTAAATTCATACATCCTTGATCAAACAATAAATGTTTTAAAATGTTGACTCAAATTCCAATTTTGACACTTCTTCTTGGAGACTAAATTTGATTGATTCAAAGACATCAGTAATAATCACTGCTGATTCTGCATAGTACTTCTGTTTGTTGGATATTTGTGGGATTTAGGAGAACATTTTATTAGAACTGGAGCTCTTCAAATTAAAGTCATATGTTAGTTTTGATCAATAAAATTTTCAAACTTTGTGGGAAATTAGTTTGTATTGTTATAAATTCTCTAACTGGACCTCTAATCCATGAAACAGTAAGACTTGTATACTTCTCC